AAATTCACCAAGCCTGTTACAAATACACAGACCTTGTAACATAAACGCACATGCTCACAACACACATTCAGTTGAGTAGGATGGCAATCCGCCACACATAAAAACACATACATTCCTGCAAGCCAAGCAGTGAATGTGTTATTCAGGTATGAAATTCATCAGGCAAACCCTTTATCCTGTGTCACTGAGGGTCCATCTGTTCAACCAAGGTCTGACTGATTGTTCATGAGATGATGGAAGCAAACATGATTGTCTCAACAGGGCAAGAAATTATGAGGAAAGCCTCAGAATAGGAGAAAAGCCAAGTAGCATTATGAGGGCAAACTAAATCACATATAATCTCTCTCATATACTGTATATATACACTTATTCTTTTGGACTTTTGTGAGATCTTAAATTTTTGCATCAGTGGTCTATTCTGTCATAATATAACACAGTAGTTGCCTTTTCAAAATCCTTAGAGCAATGTAGTGTTGTTTTTGGCGGCCTGTTTTAATTTTAGTTTTAGTCTAGTCTTTGTGTGAAGCTGTCATTTTAGTTTTTATTAGTTTTAGTCACGTTCATACTCTTTTTAGTCTAGTCAGGTTTTAGTCGACTAAAAGTCTGAGCATTTTAGTCTAGTTTTAGTCGACGAAAACTGATGACATTTAGTCTAGTTTTAGTCAATGAAAATTGTATTTTAGTCTCTTTTTAGAAATGCAATTCTATTTAACCCAGTCAATATAGTATAAGTACCTAGTAGTATAGACGAAACCAAAATTTTATTTTAGCCAAACCCATTTCAAACAAGGTTATCTTATTATATTATTGTTACCTTATAGAATACATCCATTCCAGACACGGAAGATGCTCTGATTTGAATTTACAACATTTATTTTACCAACCAAACATGTTAGAAGTACGCACACATAAATTTAAATAAAGACGAACCCCGGCTGGCCGGCCATCGGTCCCTTTCTCTGTGTCAGACTTAACTTTGTGTGGTTTTCGTCTTCTAAATCAGTGTTTCCCAACCTTTCTTTAGTCACGGCACCCTTTGGAAATTTTTACAAATTTGTGGCACCCTACAAAATTAATTTGGTCACAATATTTCTATTTCTAACTTCGATATGGTAATTTTAAAAGTATAGATATTTGGTACAACAGAGAAGAACTGCAGAATATAATGTCATACAGATATTTTTAATATTATAAAAATCAGTAGGCTAATTTCTAATGAAGAGACCAATTTATGACAGATTTTAATGTAGGCTTTTATTCATATGTAAACATTGTGAGATAGTTATAATGGTAATTAAACAAAGTTTTGCTCACTCAGTGTATTTTTGTAGGGCTATTAAGAGATTTTTTTTTTTTTTTACCAATTATCCAAATAATGTTTAATCTTAGAAAGCTATTATTATCAGAGGACACATGAGCATAACGGTTAGCAGATCAATGAATGAGAGGGCAGCCTTACCAGAGTTGCCCATTTACCACACCTTGTTTCAACACAGTAGGGCTATTGCAGACAGAAACAATACTGTACTACATCGATGTTTCCTGTCAGCTTGATTTTTGAGTGGACTTTGCTGTTCCGATGAG